AAGAGGAGCGATTGGTGGAATGATGATGTAAAGAGAGTAGTAAGGGAGAAAAAGGGTTTGCATATGAGAAGTTTTTACAAAGTAGAAGGATCAGGAGGAAAATATATGGGAAAAAGAGAGAAGTTAAGGAGTGGTGAAACAATGTAAAAAGGGCAAATAGGAGTGGGGGAGATGTTATCAACAAATTTTTTTTTAAAATAAAAAAAAGTTTTTGGGTGAGATTAACAAGTTAAGAAAGCCTAGAGAACAAATGGATTTTGTCTTAAAAATAGGAGAGGAGAGTTTTAAATGGAGAGTAGAGGGATTTGGGGAAAATGAAGGGGAAAATTTTAGGATTGTTTTTAAATGTTGAGAAGAAAAGGAAGCTGTGATTTCTTTTAAGGGAAGGGGGAAACATCTTGTAGGAGTGGGAAAAAGGCCCGTTGTGATGTGGGGAAGTTGAGGGAGTAGGTAAAAAGAAAGGGGGGGAAGGGAGCCGGATTTATGGATAAAGATAGAAATTTTAAAAGCAGGGGGATATGTTTTTTGGGGGTTGGTGCAATTTTTTAATAAAGTAGGAAGGGGTAAAGGTACCTAGGGGTTGGCAAGAGCATGCTAGTTCCTTGTATAAAAGGGAAAGGGATAAAAGGAGGCAAAAATTATAGGGGGATAAGTTGTTGATTTTACCTGGGAAAAATGTAGGTAGAGTTTTAATTGAAAGAAATTTAAAAGTAAGACGGAGAATAGGTAGCAGAAACAAGGAGGCTTTAGGAAAGGTAGGGGGTTGTGGACCAGGTTTAACAGTGAAACAATATAAGTGAACAGTATTTAGATAAGCTAAAGAGGTCTTTGTGGCATTTATGGTTTTGGGAAAAAAGGCGTATGACAGGGTGGATAGGGGGCAATGTGCAGAGTTGCAAGTGTATGGTGTAGGAGGTAGGTTACTGAAAGCAGTGAAGAGTTTTTACGAGGATAGTGGGGCTCAATTTTAAGTATGTAGGAAAGAGGGAAATTTTTTCCCAGTAAAAGTAGGCCTTAGACAAGGATGTGTGATGCCCACCGTGGTTGTTTAATATATTTATAGATGGGGTTGAAAGGGAAAAGTAAATGCGAGGGTCTTGGCAAGAGGCGTGGAGTTAAAAGATAAAGAATCACACACAAAGTGGGAGTTGTCACAGCGCTCTTTGCCGATGACACTGTGCTCTTGGGAGATTCTGAAGAGAAGTTGCAGAGATTGGTGGATGAATTGGTAGGGTGTGCAAAAGAAGAAAATTAAAGGTGAATACAGGAAAGAGTAAGGTTATGAGGATAACAAAAAGATTAGGTGATGAAAGATTAAATATCAGTTTGGGAGGGAGAGAGTATGGAGGAGGTGAACTTATTCAGATATTTGGGAGTGGACGTGTCAGCGGATGGGTCTAATGAAAGATGAGGTGAATCATAGAATTTATGAGGGAAAAAGAGTGAGTGGTGCACTTAGGAGTCGTGGGGGGACAAAGAACTTTGTCCTTGGAGGCAAAGAGGGGAATGTATGAGAGTATGTTTTACCAACGCTCTTATATGGGGGTGAAGCTGGGTGATGAATGTTGCAGCGAGGAGAAGGCTGGAGGCAGTGGAGATGTTCATGTCTGAGGGCAAATGTTGGTGTGAATATAATGCAGAGAATTCGTAGTTTGGAAGTTAGGAGGAGGTGCGGGATTACCAAAACTGTTGTCCAGAGGGCTGAGGAAGGTTTTTTGAGGTGGTTCGGACATGTAGAGAGAATGGGGCAAAACAGAATGACTTCAAGAGTGTATCAGTCTGTAGTGGAAGGAAGCGGGGTAGGGTCGGCCTAGGAAGGGTTGGAGGGAGGGTTAAAGGAGGTTTTGTGTGCGAGGGGCTTGGACTTCCAGCAGGGATGCGTGAGCGTGTTTGATAGGAGTGAATGGAGACAAATGGTTTTAAACTTGACGTGCTGTTGGAGTGTGAGCAAAGTAACATTTATGAAGGGATTCAGGGGAAACCGGCAGGCCGGACTTGAGTTCTGGAGATGGGAAGTACAGTGCCTGCACTCTGAAGGAGGGGTGTTAATGTTGCAGTTTAAAAACTGTAGTGTAAAGCACCCTTCTGGCAAGACAGTGATGGAGTGAATGATGGTGAAGTTTTCTTTTTTTGGCCCCCCTGCTTTGGTGGGAATCGGCCGGTGTGATAATAAAAAAATAAAATAAAAATACCTACCCAAAACAATACTGTCTTACATCCAATTGTAGCATTCTCATACTGTAAACTATTTTCAACAACTCACAATGTTTTTTTTTTTTTTTTTTTTTTTATTATCAACTGGCCGATTCCCACCAAGGCAGGGTGGCCCAAAAAAGGGAAAAACTTTCACCACATTCACTCCTCACTGTTTTTCCAAAAGGGTGTTTTTTTTTTTACAACATTTTTTTAAACTGCAACTTTAACACCCCCCCTTCAGGTGCAGGCCCTTTTACCCCAAATTGTTATATTCCAAAATTTTAATTTTCATTTTCATTTTAAAACTTTTATAATTAAAGTAAAACTACTGTCTGCTGAAAACAAAGTGTAAAAATTTAAACAAACTATGATCAGTTTTTAGTTTTTAAGTAAAAATGAAAAGCCACAAAATTTAAGTTTTCCCCATTTGCCTGGGGCATGATAGGGGCCCTCTCTCTGCATTGTACCCCTTATTGTAATTTCAAAATCTAAACTGTAACCTTGAAAAGAAAAAAAATTTGTTTTTTTTTTATTATTACAATAATGCGTATTTTTGAATAACATAAATTTTTCTGTTTTTTGTGTGAAAAAAATTTTTAAAATGAAAAGCAAGCGTAAAAACAGGGGACCCCCGCTTTAACGATTACCTCCAAATGCCCAATTATGAAGTGGGTTTGTACGGTAGGTTTGGGGGTCTGAAAGGGGACAAATTAAATTCAAAATTTTTCCTTTAAATGGGAAAAAATTGGGTTCAGTCCCGGGGACCTGAACATACTTCGGGGGTAAAAAAATATCTTTAAAACCCGGGGGCCCCTTGTATAAGACAGGCGGGAGACGTGACTAAAAAAACAGGGGGAAAGTTTTTTTTAGTGCCGGGGAATGTCAAAAATTCAATTTTCCAAATTAAAACCCCAATTCATTTTTAAATTTCTTGAAAAGATTGCAATGGGGGGTTTTTATATTTAAAAGACAATTGCAAAAAAGGGCCCACTATCATGCCCAGGCTTTTTCCCTGCAGACTAATAATAATTTTTTAAAATTGGGAATTTTAATTTTGTGTGAAAAAAGGCCAAAAATTAAAAAGATTTCCCGATAACTTTTTTTGGTAGTTGAAAAAGGTAAAAATTGGGCAGTTCCTTGAAATCAGGGGGGTAGAAGGTAGGAAAACTAATGAAAATGGTACAATTTTGGGGGGACTAGAACAATTCAGTTTGGGCCAAAAAAAAAGGGGGGGGACAAAATGGGCAGAGGTTTTCTGATTGTAAATTTCCCCCAAAATGCTAACTTTTTTGGACCCATTAATTTTTTTCCCTCAAATTTTTTTACTTTTCTTTCAGTACCTTTGGAAAAAATTCTCTATCATTTCATAAGTTTTTTTTTTAAGTTTTTTTAATTCTGAGAGCAAGTTTTTAGACCCGGGGTTTTAACCCCGAAACGGGTTTAAAGGGTTTTTGTTTTAGTTTGTGTACCTTGCTTATTTGAGTTCTTTTTCTGGTATGGGGTAAAAAATGCTAACTGTTTTATCAAATTTTTTAAAAATTTTTATTTTATTATTAACAAAATTTGGGTGTTTCCCCCCAAAACCCGGGCGTTTCCCGAAAAAAGGGAAAACTTTCATCTTTTAAACCATTTACTGTCTTTTCCAGAGGCATGCTTCAAACAGTTTAAAAAATGCAACATTAACTCCCCTCCTTTAGAGTGCAAGGGAAATGTATGTACTTTTCCCAAACTTTCCCGGAATCAAGTTGGCCTTTCTGTTTTCCTGAAACTCTTTATAAATGTTACCTAGCTCACACTCCTTTTCTTTAAAACCCCTCAAGGGACCCCTTGCTGCAAGTTTAAAGCCCCCTTTCACAAAAAAATCTCCCGACCCCCTTTCACCAACCTTTCCAAGGGTTGACCCCCACCCCGGGTCCCTTTTACAGATTTATACATTTTCGAAGTCATTCTTTTTTTTTTCTCTCTACATGTGGAAAATAAACTCAATAACCCCTCCCCAGCAGACATTCCCGTCAATGCCCTTTACAACCATACAAGAGGGTTTGTATAAAATATCTCATACATTTTTTTTTTGTCTTCCCTGGATAAAGTTCTTTGCTCCACAAAACTCCCCAGTGCCCCCCTCATTTTTTTCTCCCCCCCATCTCTTCTGTGATTTATCTTTAACTTTTATAGGGCCCATCTTTTGACATGTCCCATCCCAAAAATCTGAAAACATTTTACCACCCCCTCTAATAAAAAAGATATCCTTTTTCCCTTAAACCCGTTTTTTTTTTTATCCTCATCACCTTATTCCTTTCCCATACAGCTTTTTCCCTTTCTTAGTGACGTTTCCGTTTACCAACAACTTTGGACTAAAGAAGGGCTCCCTGGGCTAGTACCATAAAAAAATATGGGATATTAAAGCTGTTTTTCCCCTTTTTCTGTTTTTTACAGTAACAGTAACTACTGTAAAACAATTAAAAATATACCCGAAATGTTATAAAAAGGCCCAAAAGGGGACATTAAAACAATTTCAAAGAAAGGTTTAACCCAAAACCCCCTACCATTCAGTGTGCTCCTTCACTTACAACCAAAAATTTTTTACTAAGTGGTCCCCTTTGGAACGGAACTCTTTCGTTAAGTGAGGAGAGGCTGTATTTTTCTTTTAAAATTTTCCCTTTTTTTACATAACCTCCCAAAAAATCATCCCCCACCTCTGCAAATTCTCAGAATTTTCCCCCAAAAACAAAAGTATCTCAGTGAAGAGCAACTGTGAAAGACACAGAGGGAGTTTTTCATAAACTTGGTTTTTTTCATTTTAGGTTGAAGATGAAACAGTTCTTCATAATATTCCCTACATGGGTGATGAAGTCCTTGATCAAGATGGCAAATTTATTGAGGAACTGATTCGTAACTATGATGGAAAAGTGCATGGCGATCGTGAAACTGGTTTTATTGATGACGAAATATTTGTGGAGTTGGTGGACACACTTGTGCAGCAGTATCAGGTGAGTTGTGACAAGTCTTTCAGTGCATGTTTTTAACTCTTTCAGGGTTGGTACCATAGTAGTATGGCTTGCACGCCAGGGTTGGTGCCGTACTACTATGCATAAATTCTAGCGCCTTCAAATCTAGCGAGAGAAAGCTGGTAGGACTACATATGAAAGAATGGGTCTGTGTGATCAGTGTGCACAGTATAAAAAAAATCCTTCAGCACACATTACAAAATTAGAAAAAAAAAAACGGTTTTTGCTTTAAAACAGTGACTTTGCGGTGTATTTTTGTATGCTGTTTATGGTTGTATTCTAGTTTTCCTGGTCTCATTTAATAGAATGGAAGACATATTACAGAAATTGAGATGCTTTTAATTGGTTTTACAATGAAAAGTACAGTGGACCCCCGCATACCGTACGCATCGCATACCGTACAATCCGCATACCGGACGCTTTGATCGCAAAAATTTGGCCTCGCATACTGCCCAAAAACCCGCTCACTGTCCTTCGTCCGAGACGCGTCCAATGTGCGGCCTGAGCCAGCCTCATATGTTCCGCCGGTGGCATTGTTTACCAGCCAGCCTCCGCGGTAACATCCAAGCATACAATCGGAATATTTCGTATTATTACAGTGTTTTCGGTGCTTTATATGGAAAATAAGTGACCATGGACCCCAAGAAAGCTTCTAGTGCCAACCCTACAGCAATAAGGGTGAGAATTCCAATAGAAATGAAGAAAGAGATCATTGATAAGTATGAAAGTGGAGTGCGTGTCTCTGAGCTGGTCAGGTTGTACAAAGAAACCCAAATCAACCATCTCTACTATTGTGGGCAACAGAAAGGCAATCAAGGAAGCTGTTCTTGCCAAAGGTTCAACTGTGTTTTCGAAACAGAGATCGCAAGTGATGGAAGATGTTGAGAGACTCTTAAGAGATCGCAATGATGGAAGATGTGAGAGACTCTTATTGGTGTGGATAAATGAAAAACAGCTAGCAGGAGATAGCGTCTCTCAAGCGATCATAAGCGAAAAGGCTAGGAAGTTGCATGAGGATTTAATTAAAAAAATGCCTGCAACTAGTGATGATGTGAGTGAATTTAAGGCCAGCAAAGGTTGGTTTGAGAGATTTAAGAAGCGTAGTGGCATACATAGTGTGATAAGGCATGGTGAGGCTGCCAGTTCGGACCACAAAGCAGCTGAAAAATATGTGCAGGAATTCAAGGAGTACATAGAAAGTGAAGGACTGAAACCTGAACTAGTGTTTAATTGTGATGAAACAGGCCTGTTTTGGAAGAAAATGCCAAGCAGGACCTACATTACTCAGGAGGAAAAGGCACTCCCAGGACATAAGCCTATGAAAGACAGGCTTACTCTGTTCATGTGTTCCAATGCTACTGGTGATTGCAAAGTGAAGCCTTTATTAGTGTATCACTCTGAAACTCCCAGACCGTTCAGGCAAAAGAATGTCCTCAAGGAGAATTTGTGTGTGCTGTGGAGGGCAAACAGTAAGGCATGGGTCACTAGGACTTTTTCTATGACTGGTTACACCATGCATTTGCCCCCAATGTGAAAGATTACCTAACTGAAAGAAATTAGAACTTAAGTGCCTCCTGGTGTTAGACAATGCCCCTGGTCATCCTACAGACGTGGCAGAGCGACTTTATGGGACATGAAATTCATTAAGGTGAAGTTTTTGCCTCCTAATACCACTCCTCTCCTGCAGCCCATGGACCAGCAGGTTATTGCAAACTTCAAAAAACTGTACACAAAAGCTCTGTTTGAAAGGTGCTTTGTAGTGACCTCAGAAACTCAACTGACTCTAAGAGACTTTTGGAGAGATCACTTTAATATCCTCAATTGTGTAAACCTTATAGGTAAGGCTTGGGAGGGAGTGACTAAGAAGACCTTGAACTCTGCTTGGAAGAAACTGTGGCCAGAATGTGTAGACAAAGGGGATTTTGAAGGGTTTGAGGCTAACCCTGAGAGGATTATGCCAGTTGAGGAATCCATTATGGCAATGGGAAAGTCCTTAGGGTTGGAGGTTAGTGGGGATGATGTGGAAGAGTTGGTGGAGGAGGACAATGAAGAACTAACCACTGATGAGCTGATAGATCAACTTCAACAGCAAGAGGCCAGACCTGAGGAAACTGGTTCAGAGGAGGGGAGAGAGAAATTGAAGAAGTTGCCTACTACAAAGATTAAGGAAATCTGTGCAAAGTGGCTTGAAGTGCAAACCTTCATGGATGAAAATCACCCTCACACAGCTATTGCAAGCCGTGTTGGCAACCTGTACACTGACAATGTTGTGAAACACTTTAGGGAAGTGATAAAGGAATGAGAGGTACAGGCCACTATGGACAGATATGTTGTGCGAAAGAAGTCCAGTGACTCTGAAGCTGGTCCTAGTGGCATTAAAAGAAGAAGGGAAGTAACCCCAGAAAAGGACTCGACACCTCAAGTCTTAATGGAAGGGGATTCCCCTTCTAAACACTAACACACTCTCTCCCCTCCTCGCATCCCATCAATCATCACCAGATCTTCAATAAAAGTAAGTGTCATGTAATTGTGCATGCCTTTTTCAGTTTGTGTGTATTAAAATTAACATTTCATGTGGTAAAAAAAATTTTTTTTCATACTTTGGGTGTCTTGCACGGATTAATTTGATTTCCATTATTTCTTATGGGGAAAATTCATTCGCATACCGAACATTTCGCATAACAACCAGCCCTCTTGCACGGATTAAGGTCGCTATGCGGGGGTCCACTGTACCTTAAAATTGATCTCAAATGCCACGCGTCCAATACACGTCAACTGGTTTGTCTAATATTCTTTCACAAGTGCGCTGATGTTATTTATACCATCTCTACACTAATGCAGTAATCTGCATAACAGTAAATCTTCTATATTTTTGTGAGAATAAAAATTCAAAGCGGAAAGCAAAAGAAATGTAAGAGAGGCCTGGGGTCGTGACTAATGAACAGAAGAAAACGTTATTTTAGTGCCAGGAGTGTCTGTCTTGTTTATTCTGGACCCTATTTGGAAATTGGCATCTTATGAAATTTGTGTGAAATTGGCAAAATTGCCAATTTCTGAGCACTTTATTGGATAGTTGAAATCGGTAAATGGGGTGGTTTCTTGTACTCATCCGATAGAAAAAATGGAGTTCTAGAGAAATAGTTATGATTTTTGTCAACTGGTGCATTGGAATTGGCCGAAAATAGGGCTCAAAGTGGGTGATATTGCCGATGCGTAAACAATGTCGAGACCGCTAACTTCGCGAGAGCACAATTCCGTAAGTTTCCCATTAAATTTCATACTTTTGGTGTCATTACGATTGGAAAAAGATTCTCTTATTTTTTTTTTTTTTTTTTTGAAAAATTTCCCACTGAGAACAAGTTTAGGAGAGGGCCTGCCGACCCTGAAAGATTTAAATACTATGGCTTGCTTGGTATACATTTTTTCTTAGCTGTTAAACCCTTTGACTGTTTCGGTCATATATATATGTCTTACGAGCCAGTGTTTCGGATGTATATATTTTCTTTCAACACACTGGCCGGATCCCACTGAGGCAGGGTGGCCCAAAAGGAAAAATTAAAGTTTCTCCTTTTACATTTAGTAATATATACAGGAGAAGAGGTTACTAGCCCCTTGTTCCCAGCATTTTAGTCGCCTCTTATAACACGCATGGCCTACGGATGAAGAATTCTGTTCCACTTCCCCATGAAGGTAAGAGGAAATAAACAAGAACAAGAGCTAGTGTGACCTAAGTGTAAGTAGAAGTAGCAAGAGGTACTTGAAATCTTGCATGTGTATGAGACTAAATAAAAAGACACCAGCAATCCTACCATCGTGTAAAACAATTACAGGCTTCCGTTTTACATTCAATCGGCAGGACGGTAATACCTCCCTGGGTAGTTGCTGTCTACCAACTTACTACCTAGATTCGGATGTATATATACTCAATAATTCTAGCGGCTTCAAATCAAGCAGGAGAAAGCTGGTAGACCCACATGTGAGAAAATGGGTCTGTGTGGTCAGTGTGCACTGTATAAAAAAAATCTTGCAGCACGCAGTGAATAATGAGAAAAAAAACTACGATCATGTTTTTGGTTTAAAACACTGACTTTGAGGTATATTTTCGTATAGTATTTGTGGTTGTATTCTTGTTTTCCTGATCTCATTTGATAGAATGGAAATAGAGATGATTTTGATTAGTTTCACGATGAAAGCGACCTTGAAATTGAGCTCAAGGTAGCGGGAATGTTCGATTTTTACCAATGTTCAAGAGTAAGCAAATCACACCACACGTCCAATACACGTCAACTGGGGAGTCTAATGTTTTTTCACTAGGGCACTGATATTATTTATACCATTTTTACAATAATGCAGTAGTCTGCATAGCAGTAAATTTTCTATTTTTTGTGTGAATAAAAAATCAAAATAGAAAGCAAAAGTAATATAAGAGGGGCCTAGAGATGTGACTGATGAACAGAAGATATGTTATTTTAGTGCCAAGAATGTCTGCATTGTTTATTCTGGACCCTATTTTGAAATTGGCATCTATTTTAATTTGCATGAAATTGGCCAAAATGCCAATTTCTGACCACTTTATTGGGTAATTGAAATTGGTAAATGGGCTGTTTCTTGTACTCAGTTGATAGAAAAATGGAGTTCTAAAGAAATAGCTATGAGTTTGGTCGACTGGAACAATGGAATTGGCCGAAAATAGGGCACAAATTCAGCGAAATCGCCGATGCATATACAGTGGAACCTCTACTTGGAGTTTAATCCGTTCCATGACCTTGCTCACAACTGGATTTGCTCGTTTGCAGAGTCAATTTTCCTCATTTAAATTAATTAATATGCAATCAATCCATTCCAGTGGAATTTTGTACTTCAATAATTTCACTAATATCAACTCTACGGCTTATTTATCTATCTCACTTCATCTAATATGACATAATAAACAATATAAATAACATAGAAACCTGATATATACTTTAAAATGAATAAAATGT